TGACCTCGTGATCCGCCCGCCTTGGCCTCCCAAAGTTCTGGGATCACAGGCATGAGCCACCACACCCAGCCATACAACTGTTTTCTACAGTAGCTGCACCATTTTGCATTTTCACCAACAGTGTTCAAGTGTTCCAATTTCTCCACAATCCCACCATCGTTTGTTGTGATTTGTTATTTTGTCCCTAGGGCTTCTAGGGATTTTTCTCTCCTATGGGGAGTAGGTATTTGTAGGAGGTGTCTGAGAAGGTGGCATATAAAATAAGTAGATCTATTCCAACAACCCATCATCCTGAGTAATGTTTTCCAGGGAAGTGCTGGCATTTCAAACTGATTGGTATAGGCCACTTTTGAGTCCAGGCATCAGTTAACACATCTAGCAATTCTCAACACTTTAAAGGAACACATTAAATCCTGAATTTTAGGCAGAAACACAAATTTGCGTTGATATAATCTTTATCCTTTTAAATCACCTAATACCCTTACACTATGCTCTTACGCATGCTCCCCTGGCTCTTTATAAAATAATGCAAGATCCTGCAGGTCTTCCAGTGTTCAAGCTAACTCATACCAGAACACACTTTTTTCTTCCTCACTAGTATCCTTACCTTAGCAAAAGATCTAATAAGAGTTGACATTTAATTGACAGTACAGCTCTGCAAAGTTTAATTAGGCTCCAGACTTAATCCTCACTCACATGTGCCCTTTAAACATATTTTTAAGTATAAAATACAGCATTGTTAACTATAGGCACAATATTGTACAGTATATACAGGAGATAAGTAATTCAGTCACAAAGACTTTCTGAATATCTATCTGGGCCTTGAGTTGGACATTAGAGACTTTCAATTTATCCCTTTCTCTATGGACCCTCTCTAGTGTAAAATACAACTATCTTATCCCACAATTTTTGTCATCAAAGGGATAAATTGCCTCAGCCACTGGATCTCCATATGCTTTACCCCCCATCTGCACCCCATTCTATTCTATGCCACCATTGGTGATAATGTGAGTAATCATGATGCTACCACTTGTTGCAGATTGCCATTATTCCATTCACCTGGCAAGGTTATCCATATGCTGTTCAAATGTGGGAGTAACCCAACCCTAGAATTCCTTTTTTTTTTTTTCTTTAGACGGAGTCTCGCTCTGTCGCCCAGGCTGGAGAGCAGTGGCGCGATCTCGGCTCACTGCAAGCTCCGCCTCACGGTTCACGCCATTCTCCCGCCTCAGCCTCCCGAGTAGCTGGGACTGCAGGCGCCCGCCACCTCGCCCGGCTAATTTTTTGTATTTTTAGTAGAGACGGGGTTTCACCATGTTAGCCAGGATGGTCTCGATCTCCTGACCTCGTGATCCGCTCATCTCGGCCTCCCAAAGTGCTGGGATTACAGGCGTGAGCCAGCGTGACCGGCTAGGATTCCATTTTAAGCTCAGTTTCCTGAGATCATTTCTGGTACCAATTACTGCTTGGGCCAAGGTCCAGCAGAAATCTGTTGGCTCACTCGAACTGTTTAAGAAGTATTTAATAAAATAATTTTTTACAATGGAGAGGACCCTAACAAAATCAATACAAAAAATAAAGCATCTTAACCTAGCTACACAAAAGGAAGCCATTTTCATGCTTAAGCTAAAAGAGGAAAAGGAAAGATGACTCAAAATTCAGAAAGAGTCATGGTGCAAGAGGGATTACCACCCAGCCAGAGCTGTGGTTTAATGTAGAGAATTGCAGCCACTGACAACAGACCAAAAAAGCAGATAGGAGAAACCAAGGGACTACATACCCTCACGTCTTTCTTTCAGACTTCAAATTTCCTATCCTCTCTCCATTTTTCTCCGTAAGTCTTCCATTCCAGTTGTTTCACCCCTGGGTCAACAGGGGAATTCTAAAGTCCTTTATTTCTTCCTCTCTGGCTATTTTCTTCTCACTGCCTGCCTCCCCAACCCTTTCTTCTCTGAGCTATGGGATTCTCCTAAAGTGTCTTACAAAACATCTAACCATTTACATTCCAGTGTAAACCTGCATTTGTCTGTATTAAATTGCTGCCAGTTTATCAGTAATCAGAATGGTCCCCAATCTAGTCCCATCTGTAATTTATTGTTTAGAGAGTTCCCTGAATTGTCTATGAGACCTTGAAAATGACTACATTATGGCAATTTCCTCCTTGATATACTTTCTTAACAACTGCCATGTGCTGTAAAAAATTGTAGATATCCTACAAAATGTGTGGCTGAAATGTTGTCAAATATTTACATAGAACAAATATTTAACTTCTTGATCATTAAACTTGAGAGAAAAGTCTCATTAATTGCTGACTGGAATTAGGAGAAAAATCATATGTCTTATGTATATATAACTATGTTGTGTGTGATAGTGAGTAAAATACTGCTATTTGATTATAGATTTTCACTTTTAATTCTTTCTCCATTTGGATACTTTCTATTTAGTCCTTCAGATCTACTCTTCCCCTTACATACTCTGCTCTTTGCCTTGAAGCCCTAAAAATTATAAACTGACTCCTACCCCTTCTGCTTTCCTTTTGGGTTTGGCCAGTGGGAAACCCAAGCAGGAGACTGGAGGAAGGAAGAAGTATGAAATTGTGTATTTCTCTAGTTCATGAGATTCCCTTATGCCTGGCTGTTCCCTTCACAACTGGTCATGTTATCATGATCAAGATAACTTGATCCTCTCAGTTATCTTCTTTACACTCTTTCTGGGTTCTCAGACTTTCTCCCCAAATTCATTTGAGACTAGAGGGAGAGACAGCCTGTCTGATACTGGCCCTGTGTTCCTTTACTATTCTTTTAGTTTCCCTACCCACTACCCACACCTTACAATAAGGCCGTTTGTAAATAAACTCTCCTTGGCTTAAGCTATTTCGAGTGTGCCATCCATTTCCTGTTAAGACTGACTGGCAAACCATTACTCATCACCGCAGGTCCCTAATGTATATGTGGTCAAGGTCACTTCTTTGGTTTATTGGAGAAGGGGGTTGTTATGGTTTATTTAACCAAGTTTATTCTTCTTACAGTTTCACCATGGTCCACGGGAAGTTTTTCTTGCGTATGCTAATAGCTCCATTGTTTACCCAGAATTAAGGTTTTTTATTTATTTATAGTGTCAATTGTTTTATTGGGATTATGAGAAGGATGGAAGGTGAAAGCAGACAACAAACTGCAAAGATTCAAATGCCTATACTAAAATATGAATTTTTTTATCCTGCTTACGGAAATTTTCAAGAAAGAGCATTTTATAATGTTTCCTCCCCTCCACATACTGATTAGCTTCCTATAACTACATTTTATCTAAAACAAATAACTTGAAAGTTGTCTAGTTTTTATTTGGTTGTTAGATTTTAACTCTAATATACTTGAAATTTTTTAAAAAATTTAATGTGAAAACACATTTTAAAATGTTTTCTTTACTCCAAAATATTAATTTCAGTAACAAAACTGCATTTCAATTTAGCACTAACTTCCTAACAACAATATACTTATATAGAAATGTTTTCTCTTTATATAACTCAAAATATTTATGAAAAACAAAAAATAAAATCAATAAACAGATTAAATTCCATTTCCATACTCTGTGACCTCTGTATTACCCTATAAGCAGTGAACAAAATGCCGATCATCAAACAAATATTCCTGGATCACCTAAGGAGGCGGTCTCTGGGATTCTATAATCTTAGGTGTTGTGTCTGAGTGATGTTTCCATCTGATCTCATCAATTTCAGGATCATCAAGTATAAATGAAGCCAGCACTGGAATCTGAGAAAAATAGTTCTTAGCCAGGATATGCTTGTGTTTGATCTTGTGAATAAACGAGCGTTCATATCCCTGCAAAGAAAAAAATCAAATCCTAGTAAATACTGCAGATGTATTTTGCCAGATAAAAATACTGTCATGCCTCGGTGCCTTTGCTTGTCAATTCTTTCATCCCAGATTACATTTATTTTTCCTACATTGTCTATCATCATTCACGACTCAGTTCCTATGATACTTTAACCTGGAAGTTTTCCCCAACTCTCCCTCTGACTTCTCTAAGTTTAAATTGCTGCTAGTTACCAACTCAGTATTCATTCTCTCTTCCATTTGAGCCAGAGGCCTGATTTTGTACAGGGTGTGATATGTCTAGCTTTCTTAGTCTTTATTCTAACTGGGGGTGTCTAGTTAGAATATATATATATATAATTATATTATTGTTATAGATATTGAGGTCAGAAAAAACAAAAATAAAAAAAACAAAACAAGGAAAGTCTGAGAAACTGTCACCACCAAGAAGCATCTAAGGAGACATGACAACTAAATGTCTTCCAAGATTATTTAATTATACACAATATATATAATCTTATATAATTATTTATATATATAATTGAATAAAGCCTTTTAAAGGGACTTTTAAGAGTGGGAAGACTCGCCTATTAAGCACCTCTAGCCTTTTGCCATTACTGAGAGGTACGTGTAATGAAGTAGATGAACTAGCTCTCCTATCACTAAGAGTCCATCAAGCATGAGAGAGAAAGCTGAAGATTAAATATGGCTGAGGAAAAAGTGAGATGGCCTGAATTTCTGAGAACGAGGTGAGCCACCATAATAGCCCCAAACTGCCAACATTTGAACTTTCTTGTTACATAAGAAAAGTAAACTCACATTTGATTAAATCATTATAAATTGATTTTTTCTTCTTGTAGCTGAACCCAAATGCAGCTGAGACAACAAAAAGTTATATTCATTAAATTTTCTTGTTTCTCTGTAATTACTTAGTACAGTATTTGGCACATTCAAAAGTAAATTCTGGTTAAATTAATAAATATAATCTATTACCTATTAATCTTAATTGGCTCTCTTTTCAGTCAAATCACAACTACTACCTACACTTCTTCCTAAAATTTATTTTCTGAGAATAAGACATTCCCTTTATTAAAAAGGTCAAATCAAAGATAAAAGAAAGTCCTGGGTGAAAGGACCAAAGGAGAAGAAAGCATTATATAGGAGTATCCTGGGCTTATTAAAATTTCTTCTTAACAGAAAAATTTACTAGGTTAGAATATTCATCTTTTGAGCTAATCTAACTCTGTTTCTACCACTTCATAGCCCATATTTCATTCAAGGAAAACACACTTTATTATGCTATATTAACTTACACATGTACAGAACTTTACAGGTTTTCAAAGTGCCTTTACAGAACTATAAATTAGTAAAGATGAGATAAATTATGATATATGTGTTCAAGGCACTAATAAGTAACTCTTAAATAATTGAATATATTTCCATATTATATTATTTATATTGTTAAGTAAAGCAAAGACACTCTCAGAGTCATTTAATATGAAATTCCTGCTATAGTAAAAGTGTATATACTTACATACACATAGAAAATTTCCAGAAGGATTTCAATAGATTATTATATACATAAGAAATAGTAGTTATCATTGTAACATGGAGATAGGGATGGGTGGACATCAAGAGACCTTTTTTCCCATTGAAATAAGGTCCATTCTCTTGAAATAGCCATGTGATGGTTTTAAACTATGTCCACAAATTCTTTGGGTGTACAAAGAGTTCTAAGAATATTACAGAAAAGTCCCATATACCCCACACCCACATTTTCCTGAATGTTTCTCAATCTGGGTTTGTCCTATGTTTTCTTCATTATGGGATGGGTTTGGGGAGGAAGACCACAGGGGTGAAGTGCCCTTCTCCTCACATCATATCAAGGGTACATACCGTCAACATGACACCACTCCTGCTGTTAATCTTGATTACCTGGCTGAGGTAGTGCTTGTCAGGTTTCTCTACTGTGAAGTTCCTCCTCTTCCATCCATAATATACTCTTTGGAAAGGAGTTATGCACAGCCCACACTTAAAGGGTGGAGAGTTATTCTCCAACTCCTTAAGAGTGGAGAGTATATACATAAATTATTTGGAATTCTACATGGGAGATTTGTTTATTTGCCTTCCTTTATTTATTCATTCAATTATTTTTAAAATGTTTAAATTGATAATAATTGTACATATTTATGGGATCTTAGGTGTTGTGTCTGAGTGATGTTTCCATCTGATCTCATCAATTTCAGGATCATCAAGTATAAATGAAGCCAGCACTGGAATCTGAGAAAAATAGTTCTTAGCCAGGATATGCTTGTGTTTGATCTTGTGAATAAACGAGCGTTCATATCCCTGCAAAGAAAAAAATCAAATCCTAGTAAATACTGCAGATGTATTTTGCCAGATAAAAATACTGTCATGCCTCGGTGCCTTTGCTTGTCAATTCTTTCATCCCAGATTACATTTATTTTTCCTACATTGTCTATCATCATTCACGACTCAGTTCCTATGATACTTTAACCTGGAAGTTTTCCCCAACTCTCCCTCTGACTTCTCTAAGTTTAAATTGCTGCTAGTTACCAACTCAGTATTCATTCTCTCTTCCATTTGAGCCAGAGGCCTGATTTTGTACAGGGTGTGATATGTCTAGCTTTCTTAGTCTTTATTCTAACTGGGGGTGTCTAGTTAGAATATATATATATATAATTATATTATTGTTATAGATATTGAGGTCAGAAAAAACAAAAATAAAAAAAACAAAACAAGGAAAGTCTGAGAAACTGTCACCACCAAGAAGCATCTAAGGAGACATGACAACTAAATGTCTTCCAAGATTATTTAATTATACACAATATATATAATCTTATATAATTATTTATATATATAATTGAATAAAGCCTTTTAAAGGGACTTTTAAGAGTGGGAAGACTCGCCTATTAAGCACCTCTAGCCTTTTGCCATTACTGAGAGGTACGTGTAATGAAGTAGATGAACTAGCTCTCCTATCACTAAGAGTCCATCAAGCATGAGAGAGAAAGCTGAAGATTAAATATGGCTGAGGAAAAAGTGAGATGGCCTGAATTTCTGAGAACGAGGTGAGCCACCATAATAGCCCCAAACTGCCAACATTTGAACTTTCTTGTTACATAAGAAAAGTAAACTCACATTTGATTAAATCATTATAAATTGATTTTTTCTTCTTGTAGCTGAACCCAAATGCAGCTGAGACAACAAAAAGTTATATTCATTAAATTTTCTTGTTTCTCTGTAATTACTTAGTACAGTATTTGGCACATTCAAAAGTAAATTCTGGTTAAATTAATAAATATAATCTATTACCTATTAATCTTAATTGGCTCTCTTTTCAGTCAAATCACAACTACTACCTACACTTCTTCCTAAAATTTATTTTCTGAGAATAAGACATTCCCTTTATTAAAAAGGTCAAATCAAAGATAAAAGAAAGTCCTGGGTGAAAGGACCAAAGGAGAAGAAAGCATTATATAGGAGTATCCTGGGCTTATTAAAATTTCTTCTTAACAGAAAAATTTACTAGGTTAGAATATTCATCTTTTGAGCTAATCTAACTCTGTTTCTACCACTTCATAGCCCATATTTCATTCAAGGAAAACACACTTTATTATGCTATATTAACTTACACATGTACAGAACTTTACAGGTTTTCAAAGTGCCTTTACAGAACTATAAATTAGTAAAGATGAGATAAATTATGATATATGTGTTCAAGGCACTAATAAGTAACTCTTAAATAATTGAATATATTTCCATATTATATTATTTATATTGTTAAGTAAAGCAAAGACACTCTCAGAGTCATTTAATATGAAATTCCTGCTATAGTAAAAGTGTATATACTTACATACACATAGAAAATTTCCAGAAGGATTTCAATAGACTATTATATACATAAGAAATAGTAGTTATCATTGTAACATGGAGATAGGGATGGGTGGACATCAAGACCTTTTTTCCCATTGAAATAAGGTCCATTCTCTTGAAATAGCCATGTGATGGTTTTAAACTATGTCCACAAATTCTTTGGGTGTACAAAGAGTTCTAAGAATATTACAGAAAAGTCCCATATACCCCACACCCACATTTTCCTGAATGTTTCTCAATCTGGGTTTGTCCTATGTTTTCTTCATTATTAGACTGAAGGGATGGGTTTGGAGAGGAAGACCACAGGGCTGAAGTGCCCTTCTCCTCACATCATATCAAGGGTACATACCGTCAACATGACACCACTCCTGCTGTTAATCTTGATTACCTGGCTGAGGTAGTGCTTGTCAGGTTTCTCTACTGTGAAGTTCCTCCTCTTCCATCCATAATATACTCTTTGGAAAGGAGTTATGCACAGCCCACACTTAAAGGGTGGAGAGTTATTCTCCAACTCCTTAAGAGTGGAGAGTATATACATAAATTATTTGGAATTCTACATGGGAGATTTGTTTATTTGCCTTCCTTTATTTATTCATTCAATTATTTTTAAAATGTTTAAATTGATAATAATTGTACATATTTATGGGGTACATCATGATGGGATGATACACATATCATGATCAGAGTAATTAGCATATTCATCTCAAATATTTATTATTTCTTTGTGCTGGGAACTTTTGATATGCTTCTTCTAGCTATTTGGAACTATATATTGTAATTAACTATAGACAACCTACAGTGGCACAGAACAGTACTAGAACTCACTCCTCCTATCTAGCTATAATTTGTGTTATCCTTAACAAATCTCTTCCTATTCCCTCAACCTCTGAGACTTTTACTTTCTACATTACATTTTTTACTATGTTCAGATTCTAAGCCAATAATATATTGCTTTTATGAAAATTAAAAATGCATCAAAAATTTTTAAAGTGCTTTCATAGTTACTACGTAAGTTTATTCATGCCAAAAAAAACTATGTGGAAAGCTTTAAATAATGGTCTACTCAAAGCTTCCCTATGATGAGATACCATTATCTCTTTTTTATAGACAAGAAACTGGATCATTGAGACATTCACAAATTTGTCCAATTTCTCCCAACTCATGAATGGTAAAGCTAGAATTCAGAGCCAGGGCTGCTTTTATCCTCTTTACTGATTCCACTTATTTAGCTAATCTTTCTAAACATTTATGAAGCAAAGAGGGCAGGTTTTAATGTAAAGTTGTCAGTGACAGAGATTTGAGTAAATGGGTCAGGATTACTGATTTTAAGTCCACGATTGTTCCTACTTTGGCCAATGTGCACACAAGGAGAGATCAATCTGCTCCACTTAAAGTTCACATTAACGAAAAGTGTTTTTCCACATTTCCTATACCTGTTTCATATTAACTTTAAAGCATTTTTTAACTTCTTAAGAAAGCAAATATCTCTGAACATTAAGAAAATTCTGAAAATGTTCCATCTTTCTGCAAGACACAAGCTACTCTTCAATTGGGCTGAAAGTTAATAGTTAAAAGACTGTATCAGCCCAAAATCATAAAAAAGGCAAATGTTCTTCCAGTTTGTCTGGTTGCAAATCTTGGTGCCCTTTATAGAAATTCGATAAGACTGGCATTCTGAAATTAGAAATGCATATGAATAGAACATTTAATTCGATACTGCAGTAATTTGATTAAATGCACAAAGGGAGTTGTGTGGATTAATTGAAGAAGCACTGGAATATCAGCTTTGGGAATGAACCTCAATCTCATCATGGGTCCTAGATGAAATGATATTGCTAGTATTTACTATGCTTCCTGTGGTTAAATATTTATGAGGCAGCTTAGTTTACCAAATATAACATTTAACACAGCTTCAACTTATTGCTACCTTTTCTTTCAATCCCTAGAGTGAAATTTTCCTTAGCCTTGCTTCCTAAAACTAAAAAAATATTTAAAAACTAAAACCTTAGCTAGTTTCTTATCTTTATATTAATCACCCCTTGTTCCATGAAAAAAACAAACAGGGAATCACACTATTTTAAATGACTATTGTATTTTGTAATTTCTTTACTTTACTTAGCTGACATCTTGCATAGAATTAAAGAATGCAGAGAATCAGTATTAATTATTGGGATCTTGAACTTAGTGTAAGTGGAACTCTCTAGGAACTCTTCAGGAGCCCCTCAATTTACCCATCAAAATGTTTTACAGATTGCATCATGTAAGTTACTAAAATTACAGTAAATGGCATTTAATGTTTATAGTGCTTGCTCCGCTCCTGGCAAGTTGGAAGCAAATGAAAAATGGAGCATCAGAACTACATTCCATCAGTATGATTGCCATTTAGAGCACAAAATTATGAAAAAAATTTGAGAGTTGGGTGTTTTTAAGCAGACTCATGATAATTAATCAAAGAAGGACAGATTCTGGGTTCCATAATACCTATCTGGTGGTAATGCACATTTATTCATTCAACAAATACTTAGAAACTCCACTCTGCAACAGTCAGTATTGTAGGTATCAGAGAAATAGATGTAAATAAGCTGAACAAAATCGCTACCTTCATGGAATTTACTGTGGAATATGCTTAAACTTGCTATTAGGAGAGACTGGTATGATGTTTAGGACTTGTAATATGTTCAAATCTCTTATATATACCTTTTATTTATCTGTGCCATATATGCCATTCATATATTTTTTTGCTGTTAATCCATAAGTTCTGTTTCTTAATCTGATGGAAGTATTTAAGCATGGAATATATTAGAAGGCAGTCCAGTTAGCTCTAATAATTCCAATGATTAAATTAACTTCACAAATAAAATTCACCTTTCTTACCTCTTCAATACTTGTTAGGTTGAGATGAGCAGCCGCTTCATCTTTGGTAAGAAGAATACAGTTCCAGGGGGACCACTCCAGGGATTTATTCCATCTGACCATGACCAGATCACTGAGATCGTCCCAGGCACTGAGGACGGACTGGGACGCCCAGATGTTCTCTGTTAGGTACTGAATGTCTTGTAGCTGCATGTCAAAGCAAGTTTTAAAAACAATGTAGTTTAAATTCGTTTAAGATTATTATATTACTTGAGCAAATAATTAAGTTATAGAGTATTTTTAAGTGAAATATTATTCACTAGGTTTCAATGACACATAGCCCCTTATTTTTCACTAAACTTCTGTTCATTTTGCCTAAACTACATTATCAGTCTCACAGTTGCGTCCCCATCTCTAAACCAGAGTAAGCAGTATAAATTTATTTCAGTATGCTAATTTTATCTTAATATAATATTAATAATACTGTAATGTTGCCATAATAAACATATGGTATTCAATGATTTTTAAAAACTCATTAGTAAGTACCATCTTAATTTCAGGACCATTGTCGAGACCTTTTAAAACCTTTTACTGCCATTTTACAAATGAGGAAGTTGAGTTTTTTTTATATGGAACACTTCACAAGTTTGCATGTCATCCTTGTCCAAGGGCCATGCTAATCTTCACTGTATGGTTTCAGTTTCAGTATATGGGCTGCTGAAGCGAACACAGGAAGTTGAGATTTAATAAAGATAAGTAATTCACTTAGTGTTAATTAAAAGACTTGGTTGTTTCAATAAAAAAGAGGGGTAATGAAATTGTTGTTTAAAACTTTTTTAAAAATGTAAACTTTATTAGCTAAAACTCTTGGAATGACTTTTTATCATGGGGTCTGCATTATAAATTAAGAATTGCCAGAGAGGGACAAACTCAATGAAGTATAAGCATGTAAAAAGAACATTTTTTTTAAAAGCTTCTGTGAAAAACTGTGAGAGCAGAAATATTTTCTGTAAAATGAGTAGACAAAACCTAACAATTTGCCAAAGTAAAAAACAAAAAGAACCTGTAATCATCAGCTATGACAGTATTTCATAAATTGATAATTCAATATATTAAGCTCAACTAATGCATTCTAGCTTTTAATTAATGCTAAAAAAGACAATACTCTGTACACAGCTGCTATGAAAAATAAATTTATAGACTTTTAAAATTCAATGTTTTATATATTTTCCTTACATTCAAAATGCATCTTGTTTACATTTTTGTTTTTAATTTACTTGCTCAACTGTACTAATAATTTTGAAATTGTATCATACAGAATAACATGTTTATTTGCATGTAAATGTCAAATATGCACATGATAAGTGTGATTGGCAGTCTCTAAGAGCTTTCTACCTTTCAAGTAGTCATTGTACTTGAAATTTTTGCAGTAAAACAGCAATACTATTGCCTATTAGGCAGTATTTGTATGCATTACAGATAAATGAGGTGACTAGTACAACACTCAAATCTCTTGTCTAAGCAGAATGTTTACTTTTTGTATATATTAGCTTTCACCTTTTCATTTTATATGACATCATGTTCACATTTAATATATGCTAATATTTGCTGTTGTTCACAAGATTTACTGTTTATGAGAATGTTCAAATATTCAAATTATGCCTCAAATGCTATTACTGAAATAAATATTAATCAAAATTACACCAATTACAAGGGGGGAAGTTACTGGACACTCATATTTGTCTGCTAATCCTAGACATTGGAAAAGTAGTATAAGAGACCAAAACCCTACACAGATACAGTATTGAAATTAAATCACATCTAATGGAGATTATCCTTATCTGAAAGGTTACAATGCTCCCCTAGAATTTTTTCACTCAATATGTGTAATGGTTGATTTTACATCAACTTGATGAGGCCACAGGATACCCAGATATTTGGTCATATGGTATTCTGGTGTTTATGTGAGGGTAGTTTTGGATGAGATTAACATTTAAGTCAATAAACTGAGTAAAGCAGATTGTCTTCCATAATGTGAGTGGGCTTTATCCAATCAGTTGAAGGCCTGAATAGAACAAAAAGTTGACCCTGCCCCCAAGTAAGGAAGACTGTTCTTGCCTAATGGCCATTGAATTAAGACATTGGCTCCTCCTGGTTCTATAGCAGCCTGCTGGTCAGCAGACTTGAACTGGGCCATCAGCTGTTTAGGTTTTAGATTTACCAGCCTCCATAATTATGTGAGCAAATTCCTTGTAACAAATCTCCTTATATGTGTATATATATATAGCATATATGTATAAAATTTCCTATTGGTTCTGTTTCTCAGGAGAAATCTGACTAATACAACATGGAATATTGAGGCAGCACTTGTTGGTGACTTATATTAAAGCCCTAGTACATATAAGATTCTCTACAAGGAAATATACATCTGTCATGTCAACAATTCCTGAATAAAAGTAGCAAATAAGAATTTAAGCTGATATAAACATCAAATTTATTAATAAAATATTCATTCTATTGGACAAAATATGTAATCATTTTAATTTGTGTTTTTCAAACTGTGGGTTGCTACCTCTTGGGTGATACCAAAGTTTTCCAAATGGAAATTAGAATAAGTAGACTGAGACTGAATAGAAAACATCAGAGTGCATCCATAGGGGTAAAGATAAACATTATTTTGGAAACTCTTATTTCTGAGGCAGAACAGCATGTGTTTACATGTATGGATTCTGGGACTCAAACTGCCTAGTTTTCAATCTTGGTGCTGGTACTTAGTAGCGTAAACTTGGACAAGTTTGTTAACTGCTCAGTGCTTCACTTTCCTCATCTGCAGAATAGAAATAAGGCTATTTCGATGGGAATTTTGTGCTGATTAACTCAATAAAGTATGTAAAGCCATATAGGTACTGAGTATTGAGAATTATCATGCATGCCTATATCAGGTTGTCATAAAAATACATTTTTACTGTAGATTGAGATTTAAGAGTTTGAAAGCTACTGATTTAGAAGAATTTTTTAACAAAGCGCATCACATTTGGTACCTGTTTTTAAATCTCTATAAAGTTTTCTATTCATAGTAGTGCCTATTTTCCTATTTGGTATTAAACACAGTTTAGTTCATTTTAATTAATAACTTTAATTTACAGAAAATTTGCCCTTATTTGACAGTCTGTGAACACAAATATCATTAATGAGGTGAATAGTGCACTATAACATACTTTTATTAATAAGTGGCTCATGTTGGGTAGTCATATCAACAACAAGTAAGTCCTTCTCTTTTCTCACTCCCTTACATAAGTCCAAACAGTGTCAGGAATTTGTTTTTATTTTGTAGAGACACAGACTATCCTGTGGCCTAAACAACCCAATAGAAGTCATGGAATAACCAAAGAGACCAAAGTAGTGGTTAAGTTAGGAATTCAGGTCAGAGTTCTTGATCTCACAGGCTCCACCCTCTCACAGAGCTAGGAGAAGTTCTTAAGAGAAGCAGATTGCGGATAGGGTCAATGATCCAATGCAATGATTCATCCAAAAGAACTCTGGCCAGAAATTTTCCAGTTGTGTGGTTCATACCAACACTTTACACAGACAAGTATCAAAGTCTTTCCTTAAGGTTTTTTTTTTTTTAACTTTCTATAAGCCTTAGCTTTCACTTTTGGTGTTATTTACCATTATGGTCACATTCGGTTTACATTAATTAGTACTGTTATTCATAAACACTAGTATGTGTATATGTAACATCAGTTTCTGTGAAAGTCATTCATTCATTCAACAAATATTGAGGGCCTTAAATAAAAACTTGGTACTGTATTAGGTTATAGAGGTATAATGGTGAGCAGGAGGAATAAAAAGCATACTCCTGCCCTTACAGAGCTTACAGTCTAGTGGAATAGAGAGTCATTAAACAATCACACACACACACACAAACACGCATAAGATTGCAAGACAGCCTCCTTGACAGGCTTCAGCTATAATTGGCACCCCTTATTGACCATACCTGCATCAAGAAAGCAATTTTAGAATCATCTTCATAATCAGCTTCTGTAAAGTAGAGCTGTTGAAGCAAACATTTGTACTTCAAAAATGATTCTCGTTTTTGAGCCTCATTCTCAAGGCTAATGCAGTTACGACACCGGTATATGCGGCGTGAGGTGGATGATATAGAAAACTCTGTAGAAGGCAAATAAAGCTGGCAACTGTGGCAAAAGTAAATCTTTTTATAAAATTTCAATGGGTCTTGAGGGACCTAAATAGTAAAAAAATAAATAAATAAATAAGCCAGGCCAGGCCAAATATGATCCTAACTAATAGAAGCATCAAGGGCTAACTTATCTTAGAATGAGATTAAAAAAAAAAAACAGTTGGCTAATTTCCAAAATTATATTTTCCCTTAACTTCTTATTCTATAGAAAATCTAAATTTCCAGCAGTATTTATTCATCCTGCCAAAATACTGAAAATCTGTTATTCATCAATTCTTAGATATTAGTTGTAAAATCACTTAGAAAATTAATTGACTGAAAAAAATAGTAGGAAGAGGCTTTTTATTGTTAAGAAAAGTTTGGATTTTTTTCAGTTCTACATTAGTTATTCCTATAGGCAATAGATAGATTCACATATAAGTAAAAACCCACTAAACCAATTGTTCTTCTCGTTTAATTTATCTTCAAAATAAATTTGGATTAGTTCAAATGATTAATTTTCAAAGTTTGAAATTCTATGTCTAAAACAATAGACAGAGAGTAATTCTATCAACAAAATAATCAATCCAATCATTCACTATGGGCTAAAAATTCACTATTCACTATGGGCATGAATGAATGAGTGAACTGTGAACATCTCAACACAAACTGAATCAAGATGTATATAAGCCAGTCTTTCCTAATTTATGGTACATCAGTACCTCTGGCTTCCATGAAAGTAAAGATCAAGCAGCAACAGAGTTTGCATGTGATATATAAGACTTTCAAAAAATATTTTTATAAAGAAGGAAATAGACATCAATGTTCTATAAATCTATAAATTTTTTCTCTTACTCAATGTAGATTTAAAATATTTACCATTATAATCCCTTCCAATGTTTTACTTTGTTCTGAACATCTGTTACCTTTCTGCACCTTCCCTTCTACTCTGCCTTACTTTTCCTAAACGCTCCATCTTCCTGAAGGGTAATATTCTTTAAAAACTTCATTGTCCCTTGTCTTGTAATTTTGGGAGATAAGACAATATGTAAATTTAAAAGGTAGTCAGTTCTTCGAGAGAAAAGAAGAGTGATCTGGGGTATATGGATCAAAGATCCAGAAGACAACTTATCTGGTTTATTTTCTTATTCTGAGATTTACACATTTTGTTTATCTTAAATGATTATTTTATCTTCATGCCTTCTATGCATTAAATTAGCAAATACATCAGTCAACCTCATAAACACGTTAGCACACCTCTCCATTATAGATGGAGCATTTATTATAATGACATGGAAAGATATTCTCTACCCATCTGAAATTGTGCAAGAAAAAAAAAAAACTCATTCTCATTATTATTATGATGACAGAGGGCTCCATTTAAGCTGCAGAATTTAACACTATGCATTCTCCAGAGTACACTGGGTACTTCATGCTGGCCTACTCCCAAAAAGTGGTTGTGGGGGTAGTGGTGTTCCTTCAAATTCTTCTCCCACTATGCAAACTAAAAATGTGCAAATGAGCCATTCCTTTTTAAAGCCAGTAACGTTTAAATCCAGCCAGTAGTTTAAGATATTAAAGAGTATATTCCTCCCAAAAAAGAAGTACAGGATAATCCATAGGTGTGTCCTAGATTCAGGAACAAACTTTAAACACTTTATCTTAATTAATATATTTATCACATACCGCAGGCAGAAACGCAACATGGTGCAGTCAGTTTGGAAAAAAAAATGTTTAGTAGTCTCTTTTTAAAGTAAACATGCATTTACCATGTGATTCAATATGCCACTTTCTAGGAATTTACCCCAAAACAATCAATTTACCCAAAAACTCGTATCTAGTACTTATAATGACTTTATTCATAAAAGACCAAAACTCTAAACAATCCAAATGTCCTACAACTGTGAATGGATTTTTAAAGACTTCTTGTATATCCAGATATTAGAATATTTTTGGGCTATAAAAACAAACCACTGACACACTCAAAAACATGAGTGAATCTCAAATGCAATATGCTAAGTGAAAGAAGTCAGTCTCAAAAGACTACATATAGTATGAATCCATTTATATGACCTTCTGAAACAGATAAAACTATAAAAATAAAATACATATCAGTGTTTGCCAAGGATCGGGAAGTTAGGGAAATGGCTGACTACAAAGTGGCAGCATGAGAGAATTCTGGGGGATGATACGACCATTTCTTATTTTGACTGTGCTACTGGTTATATGACTCTATACATTTTTCAGAACTTACCAAAAAGAGTACATTTTACCAAAGGTAAAATTTAAAAATAAATAAAATGATATAACATTATGTAAAGTTGTAGAAACTCTATCAATTGTATTACTCCAAATATAAACCGAATAAGTCTACAGAGAAAGATGGTGGCTCAGACAAATGAAATACTGGTTTGAATAAGAAATAATATAATGGGAACTTTTTCTCTTGGACTTTTGTTATATTTTAATATCTTTGCAATACAATCAGGTTTTAAAAAATGAATTTGAAAAATATAAAAATTAAACAGTATTTATTCTTCTAGAAGTCTTGACTAAATATGAGATTTTGTTTTTTCAAAAAAGCTAAAGATGTTTAGTCAGCTTTTTAAGTAAATTTTAACTGAATATAATCATTGAAATAAAACTATAATTCTCTGACAACATTCTCCACCCCAAGAGTTTTACTAATAGTATTTTAAATAGCTCTGCACAGTAAGAAGGCAATGAAAATTCCCACAGAAGCCTAACGACGTTGGAGTTGGAGAAGATAGTGTAATTCAAATACATTACATTTGAAGTTCTCTCAGAAGATCCATATGGATCTGTTCAGTAATAACTATAACTATGTGATAAGTGTTTTAAGGAACACAGACAAGGTATAACATAGAATCTCAGAAAAAAACAATTTAACTCCCTGTGACGCCTCATGAAGGAGAAGAGATGAGAGTTGAGTCTTAGAAAATGAAGAGGAATTGGCTGGGTAAATAGTGAATGGTTCCAGGGGAAACCAACAGTATGTACAAAGCCATGGAGGTGTGAGAAATCATAATACATTCAACACAATGCAATATTCAGTTGGAAAGTTGGTGAAGATATTAGGAAATAATTGAAAGTTGGAAATACTCAGAAGTCAAGTAAGTGTAGTTTACCAACATACAAAATAATCATTCAAAGGAGATACCACCAATAAGATGGTATTCCACATGGACTCCAAGGAAAGTGTTAAAGCAAAACTTGAATATACTTCAATTTACTATGCCACATCTTAGGATTTTGAAGAAGGAATATAAAGAAGTAGAATACCTTAAGGTATTTTGCAACTTCAGGATTAAACAGAGGTGTTTTGATATAATGAAAAAAGAGTGTCGCAATTCTTTTTCTGAGTCCTTCAAGGTTATGATGTTTGACTCCTCTCATCATAAGGTCAACCTCTCTGTCAATCAATTCTAGAATTTCCTGAGTTAGTTTACATTCATGTTCCTATACAAAACACAAAAATATATGGTATAAAATTTTACAAATCACTAAGTTCATTTTCAAATTGCCACCGAAACAAACCAAAATCTACATTCCAAAAGAAATGAAACATTGCCAATAGGAATATAAATTGGCAAAACTAATTTGGAAAAAAATCGGTATATCCGACACACTAGAGTTAAATATATGCCAAATCTATGACCCAGGAATTCTACTCTTAGGTGCTTTAAAGAAATGTGCATGTAGAGCTCTACTGTTCATATTAACTGAAAATTAGAAACAGCCAATAGTCCATAAATAGATTACATTAATAAATTACAGCTTATTTACACAATAAATTATCTAATATATGGAAATAAATGAACTATAGCTATAGTTCATTTTTTGTTGTATATATAGCTATATATACAACAAAAACTTAAATCTTACAAATTAATTTTAAGCAAAATACTGCAAGTACAAAATAACAGATATAGTACAATTCTGTCAAATAAAATTCAAGAATAAGCAACACTAAATCATATTATTTACATATTTATACAGAGGTGGTAAAACTATGAAGAAAAATCAAGAAAATGACTACCACGAAAGTCAGTATGATAGTTACTTCTAGGAGATGACAGGAGGAATTGGAAAAGAGGACACCAGAAACATTGACAACATCCTGTTTAATATTTGTTAAACTGTACGTATATATTTTATTCACTTTTCTGCCTATTTATTATAGGTCACAATATTTTTTATAAAGTAATATAAATGAGTGTGGTTGGATGAAAAAGCCACAAGTAATAAAGTGATTAATGTAGAAGTATTTATTAGGTCCTCCAATTGCCCAAGGGAAAACTGGAAGATACACAGCTTGAATGAAGGAGTCAGAAGATAAAGTCATTAATTGTAAAATAACGCTCTTCTGTACTTTGTACTACATGGTTGGTAAGGCTAATATGAGAGTCTGCATCAGTGGTCCTTTACCCTGGAGGCACTTTAGAAGGACCTCAGGGAGATTTAAAAAAATTTTAATATTGTCCTCATACCTGAGGAGCTAATTTAACTGCTCTAAAGTGGGGCCTAGATTTATACTCATTTATGCTCATATTCATTCATGCTGTCCCTCTTGCAGGCTCTCCAGGTGATTCTAATATGCACTGAGGTTTAAAATTCACTGGTCTGTATTAGTAACTACTATCAAAATAACACCTTTTATTGAGGCCCCCCTCTTTGTAAGGCACTATATTAAGTTTTTATATTTATATATATGTGTGTATATATATATACATACATGTAGATACACACATACATATTCTCAAAGTAACTAATTTTACAAATGACAAAACTGATTTTCAGAAGAAATATTAACTTATTTTAAGGTTGTGCAGCCATAAATGAAGAGTCAGAATTTGAGTTGTGCTTAAAGACTTTAACCCTCCATCAAAATATTTTCAAGTAAATGTATACATGATTATTTCATACTAAACATAGTAAGATATGCATGATTTGCCTTTTATGAGTCCATCCTTTGGCCTTTTTATTACTGGTCCTAATTATGTCAGGATTTATATTATATTCCCTATGCACTCTCTTTTTGCCAATCTGGTCTTTTTACTGCCCTCTGTAAGTATCATGTTTATTTCCTACCTCTGGACCTATTGCTTCTCCCTCCCTACCTATCTCTTATCTTTCAAGGTTGGTCACTATGCAAACATCTTTGAAAAGGTAGTCCAGAAAAAAAGGCAGTCAACGCCTCTGCTGGTAAGAAATGCAAGATATCTATGGAGATCTCCCAGGAAGAACCATTTACCCAATTATTTAATGTGTTTTAAGAGTTTTGTGTGCCTTGGAGGACAGACACATAAACTCATCAACAGAAAGAGTGTTCTTTACAGTTAGGAGTACAGAAACCTACACAGAATATCAAAATGTTATGCTTATGAAATTCTCAGGTTTGTAATCATGTAGCTCACTTAGATGGACCTAAATATGGCTGACAGTTTTCAGTTGTTACATATAGTGAACCACTCATTTTCACTACAATATCTATGCCTGTATGTTCTGGCAATCTGGGCCATATTGATGACCAAAACAGACTGACCATGCAGTTATCTAATCCATTGCTTATGTATAAACGTTAGTTAATACAGATGATCACTCAGAAACAACCTGTATTTCTGTGCTATACTGAACAAGCATCTGCCAAGTGTTTTATTAACTTGAGAACTCAAAAGCACAATTCAGAACCCAAATACTTTTTACCTGTATTGCCCACTTATTACATAAGCTTACATTAAATATTGAGCTTACATTATGGTCAGGATAAATTAAATAAAATAATGTAAATTATTTAATTTGGGCTATAAAATGCAAGAGCTATACCAATGGTCCTAATAACAGTAGAGTTTCCCCCTTTAATTAGAAATATAGAAAACATATTCATTGTAATGAAAGTTCGAGTGTGTTGCCCAGATCAGCCCTATTTCAGCACTGAAGGAGACTCTCAACCACAAGTTGTGGTAGCTGACAGCCCTCCACTGAGCCTCTCTCTGAGAATTCCCTGTGCTGAAGAGAGCCATCTGGCCTAAAGATAGACAGTTACCATCAGCTGAAAACAAACTGCCTCATCTAAGGTCATATTTCTTCTCAGGGACATTGTGAATCAAATGACTAATTGCTGTGGCAGTATAGAGACCCATGATCCCGTGAGAGTCTGGGGTATGTGAAAACAAAAACTAAATCAAGTCTTCGCCCAGGTCCAGCTCATAATGGATCTACTGGGTTCAAACGGCCACCCAGTATTCATTTCCCTAGTCCTTGAATATATAACTGGAATAGAATACTTGATAGTATCACAGCCTCACTACCCTTGATTTCTTGACCTGTGGAGTGAGAGCTATCATGATGAGGAAAACCAAGTGGAAGCCCCTGAAACTGCCCTAGCCTGGGAACAGAGGAGGTGAAAGTAAAAATGGCCCCACTTACTACTTGGGAAATTTTTCCTTCCTGCCGTAACTCTGGACTCTTTAAGTTTACAGGTCCTAATTCCTGGAGGAAAAATTCTTCTAATGTAAGACATAGTGCAAGTCCTATTAAACTCTGAGCTACAACTAATGCCTAAGCTCTGCAGGCCAAGAGACCTGTGGGCAAGGCAAGTGTTTCCTCAGTTATAGAGGTAACTGACTCTGATCTTCAAAAGCAATGGTGCAGTTATTACCCAATAGGGACAGAGAAGAATATGTTTGGCACCCAGGTAGTGGGCATTTCTTGGTATATCTTTGCCTGATTTTGACAGTAAATGGAAGTCTGGTAGCCTCAGCCTGAGAAAAGCAGAGTGACCTGTGGTTCAGACCTCTCAAGCTGCAAGTCACTCCAAAAAGTAGACCAACTGGACCTGTCAAGGTGCTAGTTCAGGGAGAAGGAAATCTAAAATAGATAGTAGAGGAAGGAAACAGTGAGCATCTCCTGTGGCCTTAAAGCCAATGACTACACTAGGGGCTGCAGTTTTTCTTATTAACCTTGCTTTGGGGCCTAGCTAAATCCGGAGGAGCTAATCCTAAAACCTACAACATGAAGTGGATCCAGGCAACAGTATGTGTATTCTCCCCATCTTGGTAGATTGTTGGCTGACAACTCTCAAGTGAGGCTCTTTCTGAGAATTGCTCTCTAATAAAGAAAGTTATCTCATCCAAAGTCATGCCCTTCTGGCGGCAGCCCATCCAATAAATGGTCAAAGTGGGAGTAAACTGTCCTGCCTCAATTCAGGACAACTATGGATGGCCTTTAAAGTTTCAGAATTCCCCGTGACACTGGCTGAAGTCAGTGTTGAGAATCCACCACAATTTAATTTCTCTATCCTGCCAATTCTGATTTCTCTACTGCCTCACAGGAATTATCCCTGATAGCACTCTCCAGCAAACTTCCTAAATATAAAACCCATCTCTGAGTTTGTTTCTTGTTTCTTGGGAAAATTTGATCTGTGACATCCACTAACCTTGTTTTCATTAAAAGTAGGATTAAGAACACAGAAAATCAATAACTAACTGACGAGAAAAAAGATAAAAATACAATGGAGCTGCTTTAAAACTGCTAAAAATCAATTTTTCACTGAAAAATGTCAAAATATGTAAATAATTGCTGTTTATGTAATTATTAATCTCATGCTATACTGCATATATTTTCATTCATTGCATAAAGATATATTTACATTCATTACACTATATTTACATTTATTATGTAATATAACATATTTTGAGAACTTTTAGGTAAATATTAATGAATAAACCACCCAAATTATACCAAAACAATTCTTAATGTAAAACACTTTACTTGTTTTAGTATTTTATTAATTTTTTTTATTGATAGTGAACTCTACCCCCAAACTAAGAGAAAGTTAACATACCTTTACAGTGTGTTTAAGAGTTAAGAGCACATCTAGCCTCTCATCTTGAGAGATATTTTTCAGCATGATGCACTTATAGATATTTTGCAGCTCTCTGGCTCTGATGGTGAACTGCGTATCCATCTCAATTGTTTTGCCATTAGGGGTTCTCCATATCTTTGGAGCTGAACACTTAAAAATAATATTATGTTTATAACTATCAGTTAATTAGAAACTACAAATAACAATTTTGCTCCTTCTACTAAAAGTCTACCTTAGTATCATGTGCTTTATAACTAGAGTATCGCTAAAGCTTAAGAAAATTAATTTAAGAATTTATAGATCAGGCAAAAGTAAAATATTTTAGAAAAAAACAAATATGAAAGAGTTATTCAGTGTGTAGAAGTTCATACACTTCTACAATATTCAGGATTTGCTACTAGTCTTTATGTTGAATTGTTTGAGAGATGTATGGAATTACTCCTTAACCCCCTGAGGACAATTATCTGCTTGGTTCAATTATATTGAGTGTATATAAATATGTCTTGATCCTGCCTTGCCAATTGAAGATAACTTTTGTAGAGTAATTATGACAATCCTCAATATATTTAGACCTAAAGATATACCAAAAAGGGACTCTGTGAGTTATGGTTTAATGTCCTATAAAAATACTTCTATAACAAGTTCAAAATTCTTCTCAAAGCAGATGTCCATAGTGAAAGAGCTATATTGCTATCTTAGCAGTGCTGGGCTGTGGTTCCTGCCTCCCTGATGCTGGCTAAGATTCTCACTTCCTATTTCCAAATCTGGCTTAGTGTCTCCCAACCTAGCCCACCTCCTAAATGAAGGGCCAAAAATGAAGTTCACTTGCCCTGAAGCTCATCTGAGGACTCCCAGGCTAAGAACTCAGAGGTTAGAGATAGGAGGTGAAATTAGTCCTCTATCGACTCAGGAAACACAGGATAATCTTTAATGATGGTACCTCTGTGTTTGCCACTGCTTCTGTTCCCTCTGACAGGGACATTCAGAGGAGATGCATTCACCCAGAAATTTCACAGTGAAAACTTACTCTCTATTAGCTCCTCTACTTTAGGGTACAAAGCTGCTCAGTTTCTTTCCCTAATGATAAATTTTCAGAAACAAGACTATGTTGATCATGACAACTCTCCAAATGTTGGATGTTTTTGTAAGTTAACTGTAGTTGCTCTGGTGTCCTTGTAGCCCAATTTATGCCGTACTTGCAACCATTTAAATCTTAGATGTGATCTAACATAAGGTTTAAATGGAAGCTCTATGTATTGGAACAGATCATCAGGAATGTGGACTAACCAAATAGAGACATTATATAAAACTGTATTAAAATGACAGCATCAGGAGGAAATTTTAGTTGTAACATCAATTTACATCTAATTTTTTACATTCACATTAGCTAAATCACATTGAGAACTGCAAAGCTACCTGGTAAAAACAACTATATTTGATATATTCTCAAAGCAATGGCATCATATTCAGAGCAAAGCCAAAATGAATGTTATTCAGAGGTAGGAATCTTCATTAGAAACTTTAGATTCTCAGCTCTAGTTTTAATCCAGTAAATGAGAAGTTGCAGCCCTATAATTAATTTATATTGTTACAGCATAAATTTAATATTAAATAATGTATTATTATCAGACTAATATAATTAAGATTGATTAAAAGCTTATAAGGAAAATAGCTCAATAATAAAATATTTTATCATTCAGTTATTATCACTTAGAAATAAAATAATTTTTAAATGCATTTAGCCTTATTTTGGGTAGGCCTCAGAGTGTTATTGAAGTTTGATGCTTATTTAAAGCTCTTTTTAAAAAGTTTTTAAAGGCTAGGTCTAAGTTTCATGTTCTAATATTCGAAAGTCTAACCAATGTCTTAATCTTTGCATATAATTTTCCTCAGGTTTGCTCTACTAAATGCAATTCCTTTTCTTCCAGTAATTTGGACAACACCTTTTGATCTGCAGGGTGGTAAATTATTTCATTTGTAATAATTCAAATATAATGACCTTTCTATGAAATGCCTACTTTACCTATCACATTGTATTTTTCAGTTGATAGACGGACTTAACTCTATCTTCCCCCCAGGTTTGTAGCCCTAACAAATAGAGCATAATGTGGTTAGATCTTGGTTTCCAAATACATTCTTCATCTAAGTCCTTTCCACTTTTCAATTTTGCACTTAAACCCTACCTCTTCCGTAAAGATTCCTCTAACTACTATGGTTTGAAACAATTATATCACTTGTACATGAAATCCTATTGTACTTATAAAAACACACAAACAGAAGTATACATTGTCTCTATTTTAGTGACTAGAGGCAGTGAAATTTGGATCCAAATTGCTTTATAATTGTTTTATGTTTGCTAATTCCATTTCTCCCAAAAGAGTATGAGAAATAAATTTCTCAGCTGGGCACGGTGGCTCACACATGTAATTTCAACATTTTGGGAGGCCAAAGTGGGTAGATTACTTGAGGTCAGGAGTTCGGGATCAGCCTGGCCAACATGGTGATAACCCATCTCTACTAAAAACACAAAATTTAGCAGAGTGCAGTGGCACTCACCTGTAATCCCAGCTACTTGTGAGGCTGAGGCAGGAGAATTGCTTCAACCCAGAAGGTGGAAGTTGGAGTGAGCCAAGATTGCGCCACTGCACTCCAGCCTGGGCAACAGTGCAAGACCCAGAAAGAATGAAGGAAAAGAAAGGGCAAGGGCAAGGGCAAGGGCAAGAGCAAGGGCAAAGGCAAAGGCAAAGGCAAGGAAAGGAAAGGAAAGGAAGGAAAGACAGAAAGGAAAGAAAGAAAGGAAAGAAGAAAGAAGGAAGGAAGGAAGGAAGGAGAGAGAGAGGGAGGGATGGAGGAAAGAAATTTCTCATGTAGTTCTATATATCTCACAGTGTCTACAGTACTCTTTCATTCATTCAACAAATACTTACTGTGTTTACTATACATTAATCAATGTATTAGGCACTGAGTAGAAAAAATACTATCCTGGTTTCAAGAATTCTCAAATCTCATGGGATGGAAGGATAAGAAAATAAGTAATTAGAAAAAAAAGATGAGTACGCTTGATGACTGTAGATAAATAGGTATCTGTGGGTTGCTATGAAGCACTTAACTGGTAAAAAGAAAGTATCTAAGACGGAATCTGAAGAATAACTAGGAGTTAGCCAGATTAAGGGGAACTGAGTGATACAATCAAAGAATCCTAGATTTGAAGTTCAAGTTCCCTAGAGTTGGCACTGAAAAGATATTTAAAAATCTGTTCAGCAACGCTGTTTTTATACTTAGATGTATTTCTGCCAACACAGATAACTTGATCTTCAAGGCTAGGCTTTTTTGATTTCAGGGTTTAAGGTGTTTTCTACTCTGACACAGGAAAAATGTCAACTTTGCTTATTTCTCTTCCCTATTTCCTTTTTTCTTTGAAAGCTTTGGCTGTGATAAGAGATATACAACAATCATGTGCTTAAATTGCTTCAGAAAATAGGAGTATAATAAATTCCATTTAGCTGCCAACAAATGAGACAGCACAGAGCCTGGAAGAGAGGAACAGAAGAACAGCAGGAAGACACATTTCAGGGAAAGGAAGGTGGAGAAATAACAAGAACCTTGAGAGCAGCAGGCTTCCACAGAAAAGAAGAAATGACTGCACTAGGAGAGTAGGTATTTTCTTCCTCCTAAATTGATTCTCAAGCCCCTAAGGACACAAATTAAGAATAGCCCTAACTCCCCACAGAAGCTACTGTATAGTGATCAACTTTTCTTTTACACAGCACGGGGGTTTTGCTCAGCTATAGCAGCGCCCTTACTTCATGCAGTGTTCAGAAAGAGGCAGTGGCATTTTCCTGCCCTACTAACTGTTAGCTACCTGGGTATGGAGAAAAACCATTGAAAAGACACAGCTAATGTGGATTGCAGTTTTTTAAGGCTGTGATTGTGAATAGTGTACAAATCAACGGGCATCAAATAAATAAATGGCCTTGACTCAAGGAAAAATATCTTACAGAAATTCAAATGGTCTCTTTACACAGTTTGGGTAAATAACACTCAAAGATATATTAGAAACCAGCTGATGATTTTTGATTCAAACTTCTTAACCTGAATTTCTTCACCTCTGTCAAGCTCTCTGAGTTTTTTTGTTTTTTCGTTTTTTGCTTTTCTGACGGAGTCTCACTCTGTTGCCCAGGCTGGAGTGCAATGGTGCAATCTCGGCTCACTGCAGCTTCCACCTCCCAGGTTCAAGTGATTCTCCTGCCTCAGCCTCCCAAGTAGCTGGGATTACAGGCACCCACCACAACGCCTGGGTATTTTTTTTTGTAGTTTTAGTAGAGACGTGGTTTCACCATGTTGGTTGGGCTGGTCTCAAACTCCTGACCTTGTGATCCACTTGTCTCGGCCTCCTGAAGTTTTGGGATTACAGGCGCGAGCCACCATGCCCAGTCAAGTTTTTAATATTTGATACCCTGTGGAAGTCAATGCTTGGTGGGTTAAAATTACTAATTATATAATGCTTTTAAAAATCTTTAGAGTTAGCCTTTTATTATGAATGAGGACTTAGTATACAGTCTATTATAATCTATTAGTTCAATGCTTTGACTGGACAAATTTAAGACTGTGTCACTCATTATTCAGAGACATTCTATGTTCAGGACAAAAGAATTAAAGATAAAATATTGGTTCAATAAACCACACAGTATTTGGACTCAAAAAAGTGAAACTGAAAGTAAAATATAAAATTGTATTCTCCAAAGTTATTTCCAAATTAAAGGAAAGTAAATGTTTCTCTGGATGTATCTGCATATTGTGGTGTTAAATGTAGATCTTCAAATTCACATATGGCACTCGTTGTTTGTTAATTTTGACATGCGAAAAAACTCTGACCTCGTCTACTTTCAGGGGTTAATTATAAGCTATCTTTTCTTAAAAATCAAAAACTTTGGCCATACTGCCCAAGGTAATTTATAGATTCAATGCCATCCCCATCAAGCTACCAATGAGTTTCTTCAAAGAATTGGAAAAAATTGCTTTAAAATTCATATGGAACCAAAAAAGAGCCCGCATCTCCAAGACAATCCTAAGTCAAAAGAACAAAGCTGGAGGTATCACGCTACCTGACTTCAAACTATACTACAAGGCTACAGTAACCAAAACAGCAT